CGCACGTGCTCACCTGATCTGAAATCCATACACTTTCGTTTTTGTGAGTAAAAAAATAAACGTGAGATTTATTTTAAATCGTTTATTTATTTTCTTTTACATATAACTTACGCTGTAATATTTTAAATTTAAAAAAGTGTATTTTTTAAAAACTGTTATTTTGTTTTTATTGCTCATCTAGAAAGTGGAAAAGAGCCAAGAACAATGATATGTAAAATGAAAAGGGATGAGATTTTGTACTAAATAGAATCACGAATATTGCGATACGAATTGAGATATAACGAGGAGAAAGAGAGACCTTTTTTCTTTGTCTTCAAATATTTGTACAGAATTATGAGATTAAAAATTAGAATAAAACATGAATTCTCGAATAATTATTTGAGGAAAAATAATTGCAAAGTATTCAATCACCATTGCGTCTAATATAATTGAGGCTGGCAGCAACTCCTTGTCTCCATCTCGGTACCGTAATGAAGATCCGATCGCTGGTCACCTCCAGACCCAAAGGTAAATTATCCTCCTGCTTGTAATCCGGAAAGAGCCTCTTGGTGTCGTTGCTTGGCCACTCGTAGTCAATCTGCTTCCATTGATAAGCGATTCGCAGCTTGCCAATCGCGCCGTCCAGAAGGACGATCAGCAACACGACGGCGAGCGATGACACTCGGCACCGCATTGTCATTTCTGATAAAAAACATCATGTTAACCTTGTTACGTTATTATGGGATGTGGAACAAACGTTGCGTGTGTGGATGTGATTACTCCATGAAAGCTGACGGCCTTCGCAGCGTACAATTACCGCGTACCGCTAATTAATATGCACGCGTGACTAATTGCAATGTCGCGGAAACGAGGTTTCTGTTATCGCTCATGCAAGCCGAAGATGCATAGTAAGTGATGAATAATTGATTAATAATAGTAAACGCACGTGACTATATGTCTACTTTTCTGTGCTTTCATTATTCAAAATTGATTCTTAATGTAAGACATATTAAAATTGTTTTTTTTTTTAATAATATACAACTTAATAGCTAAAATTTAGTTTGTTGTTTGTTATTGTTGTTTAGTTTGTTTATTGCTTAGAAATATTAAAAATCCAAATTTATTATGCTATTATATATTTTTTATATTATAATTATTATGTTTTTATTTTTTATATTATTATTAATTATTTTGGCTCATTTAAGTCCTTCTTTAAGGCTTCATGATTTTTAATTCAAAATTTAGTAATTTATTTAATTTATGATTCAAAGCTTAATATGTGCGTAATGTTTGCTTTCTTTCCTTCATAAAAGAAATATCCTCCTCAATTATTCTGATGATGAATCGTTAATTCCGCGTGCGTTCACAAGTGGCTTAGGTCTTTTACCATTTCAATGACGTAACGGATCGTGGAAACAACGGTACTCAGGTCGGTCGCTATAGAAATTGGGAAGTCTCCAAGTGGTGAAATATATTATGGAAAAACGTTGAGAAACGTACACATCGAGGCACGAACATTGATGAAATATCTCTGACATAAATTGTTCAATCTGAATAATGTCTGTTCTTCAGCTGTTTCAATATTACACGATAACATGTTACGAAGATTCTGCCGAAATTAAAATTTTTTAAACAGAATTACAATAAAACTTTTCTAACGAGAAATTACATCATAATTTTCTTCATAAAGAAAGACTTTTTAATTATAAGAAACTTTACTTCAATCAAAGAGAATCGTCCTCATTAAGTATTCTACTATAACTCGAATATGATTTCAGAAATAATAATCGAGAATCCTGATACGTAAGTTTTAGAAACTAAAGATTCTTTAGATTCTCATCATTATGTCTATTCAGCCTATCTCTCTTGCGTGAATTATGTACAATAAAAAAAAATTCTATTCAGTGTCGAAACACGCAACAACTTAAATCAAACATGCTGCTTACACTTGTTCACACTTGAGAAACTGACAATTCGTTCCCGTTGTATTTGCCGTCATCGAGTGACGGGAACTTCGAAGGCCATTGAAAAATAGCACATACTATTTGTCATAGGATATTATTTGTGAATTTCAATAACGTCACGTCCTTATATAATAGTAGGCAATTGGCAAGCATTGTCTACCGCGAGCAGTCAATAATTATGATTTTAGCATGATTAAAATGTTTACGTAATCAGAAGTTAGTTGAAATTGCGAATAAATATATTTGTGTGATAAAACAGTGGATGTTAATTAAAGTGGAATCATTTGTATTCCATAAAAATTCAACGAGGAAGAAGATAATTTTATTTCAATGGATCGCGGCTTGAGTCACTCAAACACATTTTCTATGTGTTAATAGCAGCTAATGGCTTGTAACACGGTTAGCGGAAAAATAGAAAGCAATCAATTTTTCGACCGCTTTACACACGACCCGCTAAATGATACAACAACCGCAATCTCACGACGATACATATGTATGTTGCTTCGCCCATACGAGTTACCTGCGTATGTGTGCTCAACGTTATGTGCTACACCTTAATCTACACGTAAATTACGTCTGTGCATTCTATTCAAAATTTATTCAATTACCATTTGACCGAATATCTCAAAATAGCAAGTGCTTTTAGATTTGATCGATAACACGTACAATCTTTATCTCTCGCATTCTATCCCTTTTTAACATTATTGATCAATATTTCTTGAATCGTAAATTATTTGTTGAATAAATAATTTCGCCATTAACATTTTATATTAATTATTATGCTGCTTATTTTTATTATATGAAAATTTTTAGCACAACCGTGATTTTTTCTCGATTATTACAGATTGCCTTCGTGAAAAATTACATGCATCAGAAAATAGTTTCACATCTTTTAAATTTCCCTCAAATTGCACGCGCAATTTCTGCCTCAAATAGAAAGTATGACGACGAACTAATGATGTATCCTTGTAGGGCAAAGTATTTGCAACGAAGCGGGACGAAGTTTTCTGTCAAGTCACAAGAGAAGCGAGATTTTCTCGAAGAACTGCATCTCGGTTGTTTTACGCGAAACAAGCGAGTACTTTCGCGCGATTTTCAACGACTGCACGGCCTTTCAGTCTATAGTTTTGTACACAAGGTATGCTCTACCAATTAATCTACTACACCGATCAAAGTTGTCTCATTCCATTGACGAAACCAGAGCCGATCAAAAGAAAATTCTACCAAATAGAAAGACAGACACGATTTACGAATTCAAATTTTATCGGTTACATAAAAAAATTTATGTAAGAATTCTATTTAGATATAAAAAATAATCAGAATAATAAAAAATACTAGCACAGTAAAATAATAATAAAAAATTTAATTCAAATATTATATTAATTTGGCATTTGCATATATTATATTAATCAGTCGTATTATATAAATTTTTAGATATATTTTAAATGCTTTTTACATACTTTTTAGACATTTTTTAGAAGCTTTACATATAACTTCATATTTTCCACGCGTTTTAGAGACGTTTTACTTAGATATTTTTTTAGATTTTTTAATATTATATACTGCCTTGGAAAAAATCCACGTAGCTACCACAAGGGAAAATGATTAATTGTAAAAATAAATTATTTACACTTGATCTGCTAGATCCTGGATCACACAACACTTCGATCTCTTCTCCTCGGGAGAGAGCGACGCGACAGCTTGGACCACGCGCACCGGTTAAGCGCGACAAACTGTGAATTTGTCGGCGTGCCGGCGTGGACTCGACCGGAGCCGCGGCAGCCTTTCCCGGGGTATACATCGTATGGTACCGTTGGAGATCCGGTCGACAAACCTGCCGGTCGCCTCGATTCATCGCGACAACCGCGCAGAAAATGAGGAAGAAGGAAGTGCCGAACCTATTAATCGAGTTAACGAATAGTGACAATAACAAGAGCGATCGGAAATCTGTCGGCGGATAATATTATAAAATCCGTAAGCACAATCACCTTCAAACTCTCTCTCTTTGAAGAATCAGTTTCTCTCAGCGTGAAAATTTTATTCTTTCAGTTAATAAGGGCCGTAACGATAACAAAGACATCGGAAATCTCTGTTTTTTTTTTATATATAAGATGACGTTTTTTCAGCAAATACTTCTGAAAAAAATCCATTAAAAGTAATGAAACAAGATAATCAATGATTTCTTAAAATATTCTACATAATGTTTTTTCAGTTTGAAAATAAAAAAATTTGTTGAATATTTAAACTGTAAAAGTGACGATATTAACGACATCTTATTGTTGCCAAAATTACAATTTAATTGATTTTAATCGCGTTTTTTCAGATAGCTGCTATTATACTTTCTACTTCCTCAAACGCTGCTATCACGCTTTATTTACCATTTAATTGAAGAAATCGTCAGCGAACGAATGAATAAAGTTAAGAAAAGAACGCGCAGATGCGATTCAAGAAAGTCTCTGTTGCGAATCAACAATGCCGCAGTCTTCCCATCCGGGTGAGCGAGTGCGCGGATGGTTATCCAAGAGCACAATGAAGGAAAGACATAGCTGTGAGATTAGCGTGTTATTTGCATTTTGATACGTGCGGAGCGAGTGAGCGAAGGAGCGAGCACGCGGGTAAGCGAGAACGAGAATCACCTCTCCCGCGCGACTCACCGAGCATTTTTCTAGCCTTTCGCATCACGCAATATCTCTGCCAGCGCTGCTACTCTCGGCGGGAGTGTTACGCGTTTTCGAGGTCGATTGGCCGTCGCGGCAGTACATTACATCTGGCTTTCACTTTCCTGATTACCAGTGCCGTACAACTGCTCATAGAGCTGACTCTGTCGTTGATCAATTCGCAATCATATCTCTTACTCAAAGTGTTGTTTGCTGTTCAAGCGTTTTCATATATCTTTCAATTATTTTGAAGAAATATTATCTCAGGCTTCTAAATCAATCTGCAATTCTGAATCTCTGACTTCGAGAATTAGGAATTTATTATGAAATTATGTTTTATATTTGTCACATTTGGACTCAGAATTATGATAACGAATAATATTATTGATTGAATAATTTTTCTCCGCTAAAAATATTCAATTTTGCTTTGGAACCAAGTTTTATTTCGCCGAGTATAGACAGTGGCCGCAGAGCGAAATAACATCCGACACTGTCGATTAGCTCATCCTGCCGTTCACCAGTGATCGATCGCACTTTACCTATTCACCTGAAACTACCTGGAAGATTCAAAGACCTTGCTCGCTCGCTCTTCCTTAGAGCGCTTTGTTTTCGTCTTCATTCCTTTTATTATTTTTTATTTATCTTTATTTTAATCTGAAATCAGAACATATACTAACTCCTTTTTTTATTTTTAAGTTGATCTACACATAAAATATGCCATGGAAACTAAACGTGTAATTAGCATAGAAAATTTGAGATCTTAAAAGTGAGCCACTTATCACCAAGGTTTGTATATCTTCAAGAGACAGCGCTGTTTCGGTGAATCAACCGCAATAAATAAATGCAGCAATGACCGAATAATGAATGTCGTCGCATTTCACGCCGACTGGTTCACCTCGCGGCGATCAGCGATGAGTATTAATCAAAACGTTTAATCGCAACGGAAAGGCCACTCTTCTTTTCTACAGTCGTGTAATAGATGTTCTCAATGTCGTCGCGTCGTTGGAATAATTGCCATAACTGCATGTCTGTGACAAAGATGTGAAAGATATCACTGCAACCAAGCATTTACAATCATTACGAAACAATGCAAAATAAGAATCAACCAAGATACATCTTTACAGAGGAAATTAATATAATATTTAAAAAATGATAAATCAGAAGTAACTAATGGCACAGTAAGTATTTCATGAAAAATAAATTTTTCAAGCAATTTCAATCTTAAATTAAATGGCATTTACTTTACTCAATGATAATGTAATCAATAACTCGCAAATTCTGAAATACCGAAAGAAATTCTTTTGGATCAAATTAGTTTGACCTAAAAAAGATCTAACGATCTAATGATTATTAAAACGTTGATCGAGAATTTTGGAAAACTATGACTTCGATCGATAAAATATGCCGATAATAAAATTACTATTATCGTAGCTCATTATAATTTACTATATCGTAAGTGAACGGTTGCGGCCTGAATGAAAAATGCGATTTACTCCTACCATTTCATTCATTGATTATACGTATACACGGTGCTGCATAATGTAACGCTATCGCGAACGTTGACCCGTGCGATATTACTGTATGTAGGGCGATATAAAACTATCGGATGTCCTTTTCACCACAGCTTTGGTAGCTACCCGAGTAAACATACATACATCTAGCTACGCAATCGAGCGCTGTTCGAAAGAACAGAAAATTCGGTGCCCTCGTTTAATGTCGGCACAAATCGATACATAGACTTACCTGACAAGGCGCCTATTACCTCGCAGAAATTGCAACTGGCATTTGACTTTCGAACTATGCCATCGGCATTCGCAGGAGTGCCTGCGCTTCGCCTTTACCTGCTAGCTAGCCGTGCAAAATTAATATTTTTAATTAAAGAGTTTATTCTTGCAAAACAGACTTTGCTAAATATTTAAAACGAAATTATGAATCTAAGACGGCTTTGAACATCAATTCTTCCACAAAGAGAATCGAGAATGACTGCAAAATTATTTAGTTGATGAATTATATCTTTGGTTAATTGTATCGTTTAAGCATTGTGTGAAATTGATTTATACTTCTGCGTAGATTTCATTATAATTATAATGTAACTAAACTTTTTATGCATAATATTGCATTCAATCAAATGTTTATCCGAGTTTCGAATAATCGGTGATGAGTGAAATCATCTCATAAATTTTCGTAATCGCAGAAATGATTTTCCGTTGAGAAAGGAAGGGAAATGAACGCGCGAAAGCGATGAGAAACCACGCTTCATAGAAAGTTACCGTTGAACCACTTTCGCAGAGATTATCTATTTAAGTTGTATCAAGTCGAATTATCAGAATGATCTCTTTCCCTGAGCTTCGTAAGAGCGAACCACGCAAACTTCACACGTCATCGTTGTTCAGTTCAGCTCGGTTCAATGCTTTTAATTATGACTCGATTTATTCGATTTGACTCAATTCCTTATAGAACATAGCTCTAAGCGCCACAATCAACTCTCATTTGGACAAGGATCGTATAGGTAAAATAAAACAGACAGGCGTTGCTACGATCGAAGTCACAGCCTCTCTCCTAATTTTCTGTTGATCGTTTTTTCTTTCCTTTTTTTCTTTTGCAGGCGTAAATCAACCATGACTTCGATCGCGAATCGCTCGATGCTTTCATTTGAATGATTTTATTTAATCAATTTGAATAGTACACACATTCGTGTCACTTCGCTATTTTTTCTTTAGTTTCTCCCTCCCCCCTCCTCTCTTTCTTTCCTTGATCATTACTGTCCGTCCTGCTCGTACGCAGTCGGCTGAAAACAACAAGGTTGTAGAAAAGTAGAGGCTACGTCTAGTGCACTCGCGGTCGGTCCTCGTCTCAGAAATAAAACAGCTTTGGTCCGCGAAATTGCTCTCTCAAAAGCGATCGCCGAAAGGCAGACTCGCTTTCTCGCGAGGCGTCTTTTGTAGCACGCGTTAAAGTGGTCGTGAAAATAGCGAGTAGTAGTTACTCTAATTATCACTGTATTTATTAAGCGAGACTCGTTAAGCAGCGGCTCAGAACGCCGCGCCGTTAAACGTCTAATTGAACACCGTAATTGCGATGAAATCGCACATGCCTCGATGTAACGCGTCGTTAAACTCTCAATAAAATATAGCACACAAGATTTATGCAAATCTCGTATCGAAAACGTAATAAAGCAACGATGATATCATCCGGAAAATTCATGAGAACAAGTATTATCAAAATAAAAAATTATCATTAAAGATGTCCGGTGAGATTTGCGCCTAGCAGCTCGACACAGCGGAGATCTTGATTTCTTTTAATTTCGTCAGAGAATAACCGTTACAATTACCATTAATCCTGAGATCGTAAAGAGAGTGCTTTCAAAGAAATGCTTTATTCCCGAATGGACCGAGCCGCGGGATGATAGTATTAGGATGACAAAGAGCGACCGTGTTACCGGTTCGTCGAGCAAAAGCGATCCCCACGAGAGCGAATATCGTGCATCCGCTGTCACCAGATGTAAAGACATTATTAGCGTAAGAGGGATATGAGGATATTAAAAAAAGGGATAGGAAGGCAAGATCCTTGCGCATCCAACGCAAGAGATACAGGACGATATATCGGTATACACATATATATGTATGTATATATATATAGAGCCAGCTAAGCATTCTACGATGCGATCGAACTGTCGAGAACGAGAGTCGCGGATATAGCAAAAATTATGACGTTAATTAATAAAAAAAAATATTGAGTATAGACAATTTTTAAATATTGATTACGACATATCTAGGACTATAATTGTGCATGGAGCAATTGTTAATCCTTTCAATACTCGATAGAATCTTATTTCGTATCAAAAGAACGATATCAAAAGGGGAAAGGCTGTAGAAATTAATTGATTAACTTTCAATAATGATATTATTACTAAATAATTGAATTGAGAATTGAATAATTATGTCGCGTTGCTGATATTCAAAATAAAAAAAGTCAACTCTTAAATAGTAGGAAGTTCGATATATTTATTTCAAATTAAATAAGATATTTATTAGATTCGATCAATCATATTTATAAATTTTTTTAAATAAAAATAAATATAAAAGAATAACAAAGAATAAATATATGACTATCAATTAGGAAAAGTAGAAAACAAAAAATAAAATATTAAGATATCAATAATATTTATTTTATTCCTAAAATAAAATTATATATATTGTATTTCTTCATAATTTATTACATATAAAAAACACTCTTATTGAGATCTGCTGAAAGAAGTCACCAAGTTCCACTGTGTAACAAAATCTTTAATTAGGAATGCGTGTTCTTCTACAGAAGCAATCGAAAAGTGTTTTGAAAGGATTGAAAGTCTAGCAAGACATTAGAAAAATATTAAATTATATCGTTTATTATATCTGCACATCTGGCAATCTTCTCTCGTTTCGACGTTTCGAACGATCGATCGGTTAATACGATTTACCCGCGATTCGTTAACCGATTATTACGATTAATATTGTTTCTCGGTCCAGCCACGCGTCCGCTGAGCCGAGAACCGCCATACTTCCAGATTTCTCAAACTCTTTCGTTTCACATGAAATTCGAAAACCAAATCGAGCCATTAGCTAAAAGAAGAAAGGTATAAATCGAAATTCAGTTTAAGAAGAATGCTGCGACTAATAATTTTACGATACATGAAATTGAAAGAGATTTTTCGTAAAGTGTTCGATTGAAAAAGCATTAACATTAGATTATCAAATAAAAATTTATTAGAAAATAAATATCTACTTCAAATGTGTTTTTTTTTAACTGTTCTTGAAAACGCGATGTTTCATATATTTCTAGTGAAACGTTTACACTTCAAAACTCGAAGCTAGAATTTTTAAACGAAGAGTTCACTCGTTTTCCATTTCATTGCTTCGATCTGAAGAGAAAATCGGGAAGTTGCGATTCGGTTCTCTCGACTCTAGGACGGTAGGTCCAAACAATCGCCTGCCTTGAGGCAAGGGACCGATTAGGTCCAACAGCGATGAGATTGCTGTGATTGGTTGAAACAATATGTGGCTGTCGCCCGCAATTCTGGGATGCGATCCAGCGATAACATCAAGATTATCCCCGAGATAAAATCACGCAGTTTTCGATCACCAAGTCAAGTGCAAGAAGGTGTAATTATAGAGATTATACAATTATAAAAATATAGTATAAACGTTACGTCAAAATGCACGGATAAAAGCAAGTGTGATGATCGCTACAGCGACATATCCCAGAACAGCAGACTATGCCCAAAATTTTCGAACTTTCCACATAACGTCTTTATTCGGAACAAGTCGATAATATGACACTCAATAAATAACAGAACTTCTACATTTCCAAATTCTGTCGTCAGATTGTCCTGCCGAATCGCCGAGTGCGACGTTTTGCATCAATGCGTTTCTCTCTTGTCACTTGACGACGAGAAAAGGGAGCATCCCTCCGGAATTCCGATTGTACGATTATCGACAATCCTTGAGCCTCGAGTAATTATTATTCTTAAAAAAAAAAATTAAACAATTGCAAAATCCCCAAATATATAAAATGTTTCACACTTTTTGGAGAAAATCACGCGACCAACAACCCGTTCGATTGTTCCTTATAATACAACGGATCGATCAATCAACTCCCGTTTTCGTAATATAACGGGAATAAATCGTGTAATCGATAACTCCGCATCTTTTTATCAGTTTTTGATCCTTTGAGTTTAATATATTTAATTAGGCACTTAAAATAATTCGTTTTTGATGATTTTACTCGTATCCTCATCAACAATCTTTAACCATCTCACCGACATGAAACAGTCTTCGCGAGAGAGAAAAATAAGTATTCGCATGGGAGATTCGGAAAGACAATCCCTGAAAAATAAAGAATTATATAATAACGATGCGTAGATCATTTAGGTACGTACACGTGTTGTACGGCGCGCTTTCAATGATGTTTTGTTTTCATTTCATTTTTTTGTCGAGGAGATTTCGATGATGTGATCGAGAGTGGTGGTCGAAAGAACGGAAACCAGCAACAGAGTGCCTACTGAAGACAACAAAGCATCCTTTGTTGCCGTGTGAATCATAAATACCGCTTGAAAAACGAAATGTACGATTAATTTCTCATTAACTTTCGCTAAATTTTGATTTCTTTCGAGTTTAAAACCGATAAATCGATAAATCTCTATCAATTAATTTTGATTTTATTCGGTTTACTTTTCCTCGTTTCAGAAAAATAAATGTTAAACGGTAATTAAAATTAACACATGTCAAATCAATCGGCTTTAGCTGTCGTTAAAGATAATACTAAACTGTAGTAAAATCAAAAAATGTTAATTTTTAGAAAAAATATATCTTAACGAAACATAACAATAGAAATAATAGGAGATGCGTCATCAATAGGCACCCTGAGTAGAGGCTAATAAGAGTGTATAGTAGACAGAAGATAGATATCAAGTTGGATGATAGAAAAAAAATATAGGAAACGTCAGATAGAACAGGAAAAGTCCGTCGAGTTTTGTATAGAGATCGAAAAGAAATCGAACGTGTCCGATCGTGGAGCAAGTTGTTAAGTCGAGACTATTCTCGAAAAAAATTAATATTTATAGAATGAATTAAAATTAAGAAACAGTTTAGAATGAAGATGAAAATAAAATGTGCTCAAGGTCGACAATGAACGCTCTACGATCGGCGCGAGAATCAGCGAGATATGGTAAAGGAAAAGTGAAGAAACGGCGTGAGTCGAGTGTAGAGAGCTGGTGTTCGATTCCGTGAGCACCCTCCGTACTTACCACTCACTCATACGTCGCCAACATTGTTCCTTTGGCAAAGGAAAAAAGGGGACTTGCTTGCGTCGAATCGATTACTTTAGCAAATTAAATCAAAATTTAGATAAGAATTGTTTGCGTCAAAACTCATTTAGCATAAATCACAAAATTAACATATAATAAAATATATATATATTTTTTTCTATATCTCTCGAATAAAAGTTATATTAATTTATAATTTATAAATTAATTTTGTAAAATAATCGTTTGTAAATCCTTTAAATTGTAATAACTTCTAAATGTTGTGGAACAATGTAATGATTTCGCAGCGCAAAAGTATATCGATTCGGCCCGAAGTGTTAACAAAATAAAATTTGCGACAGACTAACCTGAGGCGACTGAATCTTCACACTGCGGCTAGTAAATATATTAAACCGTAATGTGCATGTACACCGATCTCTCTTTCAAATCGATCTATGCTCTTGATTCACAGGCGATGTTTCGTCGATTTCGTGACACCGGCCAAGTTTAATGAAACATGTATCGTACCAAGACTACTTCAATTTTCCCTGAACGAACCACAAGGATTTAATTTACATCCCGTAAAAAAAAAATATTTTACACGGAGAAATCGAAGACACGTCGCGTACAAACGACTGAAAATAAAATTAATTACAATAAAAATAAAAGAAAATAATAGATCCAATAAATGTTCTATCCAATAATCTCTAATATCTAATTCTCACAATGGTAACAGGAATTGAATGAGATTTATTCGCTATCTAGTTTACGATTTTTCTGAAAACTATATCTTCTATAATCTGCCCCCACCCGTTTCATCGTTAAATCTTTCTTCGAACTTCGGAAAATGTCAAACAAAACATATACTTCTCGAGTGTTATTACAAAGATCAAATGACTCGAAGATTAATTTTTCGTTACCCTGGAAAACCGCGAGAGCAAGATCTTCGCTGCGTTTTCATTGACTTTCGCGTCTTCGATCGCTCCGGGCTCCCTTACCTCGTCGGGTTTGCGCGACAACCGAGAAAGAAATTTCGTACATTACGGAACGGAACAATCTCGAGAGTATTCTGCCCCATCTCAGGCTTTACTTAGTCGAATAAATCGTCGTCCAGCTGCAGCGTGAAGCGCCACCTTGTCCGCGGATCGCGTCTCTCCAGAAGAGAATACTGCAGGTGCACAGAGGCTGCAGAGGGAAACAGCGCGTGATGAAAACGGTCTACTGCGCAAAAGGGATTCGTCTCTGTTTTAAGGAGGGCACATGTGGCACGTCAATCATTTCCCGCAATACTACAGAGTCAATCGTTAATCCTTACGACAGCACGAGGTAAATGTGATGCTGAATTTTTTTTAATCTGGTCTCACATATCTGATCTTAAAGACTTAATGTAATGATCATTGATACTATTATTAAAAATCATTCCATATTTTTCCATATATATGTCTCAGTTTTTAATCAAATAACTTTTCCTTCTATCATTCTCTTTATTTTATTGTATTAATTTCACATTTCTCGAAAGCTACCCTTAAAATTTTGCAATACTGCACATTATTTATATAATCTGAAGTAGATCTCATTTAAGGAACTATACAAAATTAAATTAAATCTCTAAGGACACGTTATTTTTAAGAATTTTACAGTTGGTATTATTCTTGCTGTTAAAAGAAATGTCGCAATCACATAATTACCTCGCTGTCATAATTGAAGCATTCGTTACAAAATATTTTGTCAAAAGTACATTTTGACAAAAATTTGAAATAAATTTACAAGTCCATTTTGAAGAAGACTTATAAATTACGCATTTAATTTTTGCACCGAACACTTGGATTATTCCGATTGACTCTTCTCGTGCGGGAAAGATAACGGTGGAAATGACGTCGTGTCGCAAACGTCATCGTTGCGTTAAGAATGAGGAACGCTATTTCGGATATCAGCAGCGCGATGTAGCATGTCTGATGTGTGACAAAATCGCGATCGATAGATAAATAAGTAGATCGTCGGTTCGCGCTGGCGTTTCCGCGCAGAACGAACGGTAGCATTGTGTTACAGAGCGACAAGTATTATTTTAGTTTCATTCCGTAGAAAAGGCGACGAAATCTGCTCATGATTGCTGGCTCACCTGGCATACGGACCAATGCAACCTGGCGCGCGCACATACTTCGCAGTTCATATTTTTTTCTGTCTTTTTTTTCTGTGTTTTTTTTTCGTAGCAGCATAAAGAAAAAGAAGGTAAAGAGAAAAAAGTCGACCGTTTCCAGCGCGCATTCGGTTTCTTCGAAAGAATCCTTTCAGGCACCGATGATATGGCGTACTGCGAGTCTTTTTCTTTCTCTCTCTCTCTCTCTCTCTCTCTTTCATCTTCTCTCTCTCTCTCTCTCTCTCTCTCTCTCTCTCTCTCTCTCTCTCTCTCTCTCTGTGTCATTGTTTTTTCGTCTCTCAATGAGATATGATAACAAAAAAAAGAAAAAAACAAGTTTTGGGAGAGGATCGACGTAATGCGTAAATTTTACAACGCGAATTATCTCTCCCATCTTTCTCTCCCTCTCTCTCTCTCCCATCTTTCTCTCCCTCTCTCCCTTTCTCTATGTCTCTCTGTCTCTTCCTCGGTCAGGTCCGGACCCCAGCGAGAGTTAGGGGCGGGCCCACAGCACGAAGTGCAGCGGCGGGGGGTTGGGCCCGTCCATTGGGGGCGATCATCTGAAGCGCGGATGCATCATCGGCGCCAGCATTGGCCCAGGAAAGCCCATCGGCGCGGCGGCAAAGGCCGGATGCATCGCCGCACCCGGCGGTAGAGCCCCTAACATGCCTGCAAAGCAACGCAGCGTCAGATTAATTTGATCCGCGATTAAATTTCACAGGGATAGGTAAAGTACGTCGCCCGCGTCGTCGGCGGGCGCGTGCTCTAGGTTAATCGACCTCTCGACGTTGCGAGACGACGTTACGTTCAACAGGATCCCTTAATAGGATCTCTCGCATTCTGTTTGATTAGGGATCGAGGTCCCCGGATATACTTACGTCGCGACTATTCACGTTACAACATAACGATAGGTCCTGTGTGTTTTGTTAAATGATGCAGTTTCAATTTTTTTTTTTTTTTTTTGTATTCTTTTCAGACCATTTGTTACCATGTTATGTTACACTGACGCTCGTTTTTGGAGGTTCATGTGTATTCTTCAGCGCAAAATAAATCCTGAAATCGTCATGGCGCTTTAAATGGAATTTTGAGTGAAAGAATCCTAATAGATTAAAAAATTATCCCAACACAATTTTGGAAAGTAGATAGTGAAATTAAAAAGTAGTTTTTTTTTTAAATAAAAATTGATTTAAAAGTCGAAATTAAATTTCTATACGCTGAGATGTTTAATATTGTTAGACCATTGTGCGACTAAAATAAAGCTCTTCTACGCGTTTAATTTTAATTCATAGAAGCACGCCAAGATTTAGACTCATGTTTCGCTGAAGAGAACGTTGTCTGACAGCCGATCGATTAATTCATACCGAAGAAATTCATATCGGATTAATTTCGAAAGATATATTCGCTCTATTTCCTTTCATTAATCAAAGTGCACTTTGTTATCGAATGATCTAGATAAATGTTGGTCTCGAGCGAGGATTTGCGTTCGATATCCAAGCGAAGTGCACTTCTTCTTTGCAAAAATTACGAAATAAAATTCTTTGTTTTTTTTTGTTTTTTTTTTTTAATATTCTAAAAGACTACGCCACGCACGCACTCGATTACAGGGTCGATTTGTTATCGGCAGTCCACGTACTACATGCTACTCAGCAACCTCTGATTAATGCGAATTGCCAAACTAAATATATGTATACGATAGGTATATATATACGAAGAACTCAGCTCAGCATGCAGTGCGCCGCATACGCAATACAAGTCACAAACAAAACTGACAAGAAGGTGGTACCACACAAGAAAAAAAAACCTCACACCATACAAAGAACGAGTCTCGCTTGGGAACAAGCAATCGGTATCGAAAATGTATATGGAAGCCCGCGAATCGCTCAGCTGTCAGCCGCTCTCCTTCCAAAAACGTGTTTGACGTCAGAGGTTCCCCAAACCGAAGTGTTTTGTGAACAATCGAGCAGTGTAAAATAATTGAGTCGAAATTTTCGAAAGCATCAGGACGGAACCAATCGATATTAACGTAAAATTTATCGATAGAACGATAAATCGCTTGAGAAAAAGCGCTATCTTTTCTTTTTCTCTTTCACGTGCAATATGTTTTTCGATCGGCGATACTCGCTCGTACCGCGCGACACGATAAAGAGAAAAATCATGTTAATTCAGCGGACCCTCGATCGAGCGCAAGAGTTATAGATATATATTGGGTAACGTGAAGTCGTTTACTTACTGTTATTCAGCTCAATTTATCTAAAATCTTTTATTGTGTAACACAAAAGCTAGGCTATGGTGTGAGGGAGATACATTACGTTCGTTCTCGTTGCTAATTTTGGTTATTTTCCAGAAGAAAAAAAAATAAAATAAAATAAAATGCACCGACGAGCACGGTGAGAACGTAACTCGATCCCTTCCCTCTTTGTTATTTTATTTATTCATTTAATATAATGTAGCCCAGATCTGGCGAGCTATTTTTTACTTGTGGATTCTTTGAACAATTTAAAATCAACTTTTTCTTTAAAAGAAAAATATTTTTATCATGCATTTTTAACTTTCAATATCTTAAATATCTCCATAATCTATAATTTTTAATTTATAAATTTGTCGAAGCAAAGTGTTTAATTTGAAAGGACAACAATTTTACTGTTTGTTTAAATCTCGAAAGCTTAGTTTTTTAATAAAAATCTTAGTCAAGAACTTAGATAGCTGAAAGGAGTTGCTTGATATTTTCGTTAAAACAAAATTGACCCCAAATTAGCCAAAGAATCAACAGAAAAAATAATTCGATAAATCCGCGATTCGTATAGTGTCGAAATTTATAGCAAATTCAATGAGTGATTGAAAATGATCACCGATCGAATGCAAAGAAGGAAGGAACAGATCACGAGGAAATAATCATTGCTGTAATTATCACTTGTTTCTTTTTTTCTTTTCTCTTTGGAACGACAACTTCGAACGACTGTCAGTACCGTGCCCAAAGAAGCAATTTCTTCACTACTGTATCACAACACCAGGATTCCAAGCTATATATAATATATAAGTAATACTGAAAGAGACAGGATGGTAACACGGCTGCTGGCGAGATAAATAATGACGTAAGTGAGTCGTAAGAAGAGTAATATGGTTAAATCGAGAGAGTGTGAATAAAGAAGCTGAGAACGGAACGAAAAGGAAACAAAGAAATCATACACGATGTAAAAACAATATGACGGCCGAGCGGCCGGAAGTCTTTCTTTCTCCTTCTATTTTTGTAATAAAAAATCAGGAACTGTGGTAAATATAGGAAGGTTTAAAAAAAGGTAATATATGATTTGCGCAATCTTACTGAATCGATGATAAAATGCAATAATTTTCCGATTAATAATTAATCTATTAAAAAATTAGTCCAATTATCAATGACATTTTTTATGATAATGTTATTGAATTATAAGAAAATTTATGAAAAACAGATTTCAAAAGTTTATCGTATTTTTTTATTTAATTAGTGTAACAGTTGCATGGAGAAAAAGCAATGAATGTTTCTTATTCAATGGTGCAGCTACTTTACATGTTTTGATACTGAATTTCGTTATTTCAATCTTTAAGAAAGAAGGCATATTTTCAGATTGTGATGCGCGTGCAGAATCAAAAAACCGCGAATTGGTTAAAGAAATTGGAATTTGAAAAGAAGAAGGAACGTGTCGTTGGCCGCTCGACCCACCTATCCAGTGATTATATTACGAATATACAGATATATATATACACGGTAACTTGCGAAAGTTATTCAATTGGTTTTGCCAGTCACTGTATATATATTACGTATATACGCATGTCTAGATATGTAGATGTATTAATGACAATGATGACAAGATTAATCAACAATGTAAGAATAATAATAAATATAATAAGAGATATATATATATATAGATATATATATATATGTATATATATGTATATAGATATAGGCCATGTCACCGCATGCTAATTGCTAAGGACCAACCTTGTAGCGCTTGTATTGTAAAACACAGTTTTAGTAACCAGACTGGGTTCGTTCGACACTCATCGAGGAGTGACCGGGCGCCCTGCAAACGCACCGTTAAAACGTATAAACGCACAAGGACTACAAGACGCTGTGTCGTCGAGATTCTGTGGCGTATCATTCGGTCGAGAATCTTGAGCGTGATCGCTACGGTTCTATCTGAACAGTCATGACATTCTCTCCGCCTTTCTCTCTTTTTCTTTCTTTGTCTCGAGTCAGTAGTGTGTACAATTTCGTCAATTTTCCTCCCCCCCCCAAAATGTCCAGTCTGTTTCTTGTTCATTTGTCTCATCGCTCTCGCTGTCTTTAGCACGACTATTTTTATTCAAAGAAATATATGGCTGTTGCAAATGTTTGGCACAAACTGCGACGCAATGTGGAACTGAATTAAATTAAATTGCGTCAAATTATAATTTAGCTAGGATTTGACTTTTTTCTTATTTCCGTAAAAATAAATATTTGTAATAAAACAGAAAAACCCTTCTCCGGCCATCGACCGAGTGAATCTGGTTAAGAATGACAAATAATATATTCTCACAAGCAGATATGAAGTAACATTTGATAGAATATTGCTTAAAATCAACACATTTTAACAAAAAGAAAGAGTTATCGCCCGAAAAATATCCACTCGATTCGCGCGCGATATTTCCAAAATTATGATAATAACTTGATCAAAAATTATCGCTAAAAATAAGTGCTACTTTTACATTGAAATAATGAATCAATTTTGTTACTGTACGAGTATGTTTTTGAAGCAAGAGAAATTCGCGAGAATATTTCTTTATTTCAGGACGGTGCAAGTATGCAACACTAAACTTTAAGATAGGGAGAGAAAAAAATGATCGTGATTTATCCTCGTGCATCGATTAACGTTACAATCTTCAACGGCCGGTAGAGGGTGGGGCGAGAGGAGCGGGGATGATTGAAAAGAAATCGACAAAAAGTATCAAAGGGGAAGATCTCGAAATTTCAACGATAAGGAGAGCATATAGACAGCAGGGTGGCTTTGCTCGAATACGGCACGCGAAGAAGGGGGGGCAGGGCAGGGCAGATTTTTTTTTTCATAGGGCTCAAACCCGCGGAAACTTACCTGGTGGCAGGCCCATGGGGGGCGGTCGCATCATGTTACCTCCATGAATGAGAGCAGGCGCAGCCAAGGTCATTGTGGGTCGCATCAGGGGCGCCATCAGCGCAACCGAGCTGACCGGCATCGCCGCTGCCGAGGCCGGCACCATGACTGTCTGGGGCGGCCGCGGGAACCTCTGTTGCTGCTGTTGCAGTGCGTTCAGTGCCGCCGCTTGCTGCTGCCGTTGCTGTTGATCCGCCTGAAACGCGGCCGCTGCCACATTAGCGGCAGCCGCTTGTTGCTGTTGTTGAGCTTGTTGCTGTTGCTGTTGCGCCGCCGCTTGCTGCTGCTGCGCCGCAGCTTGTTGCAACGCCACAGCTTGCTGCTGGCTCACCGCCGCAGCTGCCGCTGCCGCTGCTTCCGACTGCGTTGGTCGCCCAGACTCATCGGTCTGTCGACGCTGATACTTTGGCAGTCTTGCCCTAATTTCCTCCTACAGGACGAAATTTTCATTTAAAGATCGTTTTTGATCGTTAAAGAATAAAGCGATAAACACTCACTAGACTGAGATCTTCTGGAGGATGAATGATTTTACTAGCGGCGCCGGTTGTCGCGATTAGATTAACTTTTTGATCATTGCCGCCGGCAAGACTATTGCCGCCTGCATTAGCACCGCCACTTTCACCAGCACCGCTGTAAGCGGGGAATGTCGGCTTTATCGGACCTATGGAGCCGCCGGCTACCGATGTAATCGGTTTAAAGTCCGTACCAAGGGGCCCGGACCCAGTGACTGACACAGCCGTCGATGCAGCCACTGTTGAAACGGCCGCGCTCGGGAACAATGGACGCGAGGGGATTGATGCACCCGAAACTGGTGGCTGCATACCGGAAGGCATACCTGACATACCCTGCATCATGCTAAAAAAAAAAAAAAACGACGTAGCACAAATTATCAAAATATAATTTGTTATTTGGATGAAAAAAAGATATTTGTGTTGAAGATTATTGAAATCAATTACCAAAAAATTGTATAAATTTTAAATTGCACGATTGAAACCGATCTGCGGTAAAAATAACAATTGTAATACAGAGTGAATTAAGAAATACGCACCCTGGACCCATGAACGGAGGACCCACATGGCCCATCTGCATCATAGGATGCATGGGGGGCATACCAGGGTGGGGCATGCCGGGATGAGGCGCCATGCCTGGATGCGGAGCCATACCGGGTAAAGGCGGCATACCGGGTTGCGGTGGCATTCCGGGTAGTCCACCTCCCATGCCGGACATCGCGCCTGGTGCAGAGCCCAGCAGACCTTCAGGTTTTGCTTTCTTTTGCACAGGTTCGTCCTCGCCAGACGACGGCGAGCCGGGTCTACCGCCATTTCGTTGTCTCTCGTGTTCCTTTGCATCATTCGGTGGTATGCCTTCCATTCCATAAATCTCTATCTCAATATTGCTACGATTTGGCAATGAGTTGGGTACCTTATCTATTGCCTCTTTATGTACCTACAAAAAAAAAAGAGTCGAGTTAATCTTGGCACACACAAAATGGCAGCATATGTGTGCACAATTATATTACCTGCATACAGTGTATACTAAGCCCTGGTCCTGTATATAGTTTCTTGTGACAAATGTGACATTTAAAATGTTTCGCTTTTTGATGTTGAATGAGAATCTTCTCATCTTCAAATTCACGATTGCAATACCTTTTAACGAACAAGTTAAGGAAATACATGCAAAAAACTTATTCTAATAATCATTAGTTACATTGAGAATAAATAATGAATCTGAAAGAATTTTTTATGAAAAAAATAAGATAGTGTTGCAAGAATAAACTTTTAAAAATTTATATTCTGAAATTGGATTTATTGTGGTCGTTTTCAATTTTCAAGACAAAAGTTTAACTTCAAAATTAGATTTTTTCTCTTTATATACGATAACTCAAAAAATTGAACCATTTAATTTATAGTTGGAAAGTATTGTAAATAAAATTATTTCTTTATGTTTAATTAATCGATACAAAACTTTAAATAAAAGATTAAGTAGAAAAGCTTCAAAGATCAAGTTCGAAGAGTACTCATAATAAAAAAAATTTCAGAGTAATCCTTTTTGATTCATCCAGTTTCGCTGTTGGAAACTTTTCAACAGCATTGCAGCTTACATTATATCATCGTGTAACGTGCCATTATCATGTAACATGCATGTAACGACGATGAAAACAGCTGCACTTTTTTACATACACACATACGTATGTCGTGGTGGCGCGAGGAAATCGCGTATCGATTTCTCCGCCTTGCACGGCTGCCTACTCGCACTGTACAATTTCTCAAATTTTCCCCAAAAAATTATCACCCACTGTATATATCATCGTTAACCGATCGTTTTTTCTTGTACGATCGCGTAGCTAATGTCACGATCTAAAAATACGGTTACGTAAAAACAGCAGCTGCGAATCATCGCCGTCACCGTCGCCGTCGTCATCATCTTCCTAAGGGAAAACAAAAAGGATACCAGCACCAGGGTCTCGATTGCTTCTTCTTCTTGCGGCCCATTTTTCCGTCGGTTTATCGAAGCAATTAATCACAATCAACAAGCCTTCTAATCAACCTTACTGTCTTGACGAACAAGTATACACGGCACGAAACTTAGTGCTTATACTGTACACATGCATGCACACACTCATGCAAAAACCGATAATCCAAAATGGCTGCCTCATCTTTTCCGTATCAGCACCGGAAGTCGCCAACGTGGCGCACTTCAAGTTTCCAAGGCCTTTAGGAACCTAGGAATCTTCCTGACAAATATAAACGGCGCGATTTCTGAAAATCAAATACTGAACGGGAATAAAAAATAATGTACTTTCAGTTTCTGCATGTATCTGTATATATATATATATATATATATATATTTTTTTTTATTACACGCAATGTACAATGGTAAAGGGATAAATAGAATAATATGAAATATATTAATGTTTCGAATAAAATTCGATAAACACTTATAGAAAAATAAAGACCTCAAAAAAATACATCTTACATACACAAATATGTAACATATATATTTTTATACATTAATAATTTGATGCATAAATATATATATGTGTGTATGCACTAGCGGATCCTGATGTCGATAATAGGGGGGGTTTTGATCTGCTTTAATGCATTTTTTACCAAGATTTTTAAAACGGTTCCAGCAAAATTGATTTTTTTTAACTTGGAAGGGGGAGATTTTAACCCCAAACCTCCCCCCAGGATCCGCCAATGTGTGTATGTAATAATCATGTAAGGAACAACTAGCTGTTTGATAATTGACGTAATTAATTGACATAACTGATCATGTTAAATTTTTATGATTACTTCCAAATACGCGATTTAAATCAGATGGAACTTTGTACAAAATTGGCTTTCTATAAATTCACCTTTCGGCACTTCTAACATTTAATATATATTATGTATATAACAATTGTAAAAAAAGCTTCAAATTAGATAGTTATCTTGATTGTAGTAGTTCTAATAAATCTTTTGTACAAGAAAATCTTCTCAAAGAGAAATAGAAAAAACCTTTCGCGATTAGAGAAGAAGTCTCCGTTAGCTGGCAATCCTTTGTTTTAGCGGAATGTCACTCTCAGAATCACTGGACTCATTGCCTGTAGGATCATCCGAGGCTGCGGAGGCTGCTTTCTTTATTTCCTTTGCTTCTATCTTTGATCTTTTTGTCAGCTAAATTTATATTATATCACATTTAAATTTATTTATGTATAACACATAACAACTAAATTACATAGAATTAAATGCATCATATCAAGTTTTATGTTAGATACATATTCATAGAAAAATAAGAATAAAACGGTTCACTTTTGCCTAATGCTTACCGGCCTCTTAAATATATTAGATCGCGGTATATATTTATCAGCTACAGGCTCCACTCTTCTGATATCAAAATCCTGATCAACTTTGGTCACTGTCTGCACTCTCTGTTGCTCAGAAGTTACATATAAGTCTTCTGGGTGATGGTAAGCATTGTGCACGTTATAGGCTTTCTTGTTGCAAAATAATGCTGAGCAAACTGTACACTTAATCAAATCACCTGGCACAGCCTCTCGTTCCTCCTTTAAAATGACACACATTACAGAAAAATGTATATAGAGTGCTTTAGAATTATGTTCAATAATTTATATTTGTTATATATTTTAATTTATGTATTCTAACAATTTATTTTTATATATTTAAAAAAGAAAAATTGTATTTTTATATATATTCATTTATATTATTATTCATTTTCCTTACTCTAGTGTGCGCCTTTTCCAAATGCTGCTGCAAATTGAATTTTATAACATATTCAACACCGCACAAATGGCAATAGTATACGCTTAATGCATCGTTCATAGAGTTCAGTTTGATTTTATTACTAGGTGGTGGAGTGGCTATTGGTTGGAATAAGTATACCAATCTGAAAAATAAAACAAACAATCATATCATAATAGTAAAATAAATACATATTTTTGATCCATTAATTGTTACCTTTTGTGTATTGAACGATAATGATAATTCCAAGCCTTGTCATTGTAAAATGTAACGTTACAGTCTTCACATTTTCTGTGATGCTCATTCTTTTCACTCTCTGATGCATCATGCGAGATTTGATGATTATCTCTGTGAGTCTAAGAAAATAAATTTTTCTAAAATTATTACAAAAATAAGATAAAAACAATATTAGATCACTTACCTTTAGAGGGAATTGTTTTCCACAATAAAAGCAATAGAATTTAGTAGGTGAATTAGGATGCATTTTATATCTATGCCTTATCGTTGCGGATATTGTATTAAATGATTGGTTACATATATCACATTGAGTATCTGCATTCTTGTTGTTCTTTACAGGCTTGCCACGTGCATCTATCTCCTTGTTTGCATGTTTTCTATAAGAAATAAAATATTCTGTTGTTGCAAACATTTTGAATTATGTAATATTTACATAACTTTCTTGATTTTTTAAAATAAAATAATATTTTTTATATTTATATAGAATATAAAATTACCATATAGTAACAAAAGAGAGATATACAATGAGAAATGCATATAAAGCTTCATTCTGCAATAAATTAGACATTAATTCTTAACAAATTTTAATTTATATTTTTATACTTAATTTTTATTGATTTCTAATTCATCTTTAATATGATATCTTCTTTTATCTTCGATATTTTTCTAGTGTTCAAATCAAAATTTTGTAATGCTTAGTATCAGTACCCAATGCATGTATGTATGCGTGTATACATGTGTTGTGTTTGGTGTAATGTTTTGAATTATTCAATTAAATTTTGTTTATGGGAATGATTAAACATTTATAAGATATTTTTTTCATCTCAAACATGTATTTATTATAATAATATCAAGTGGCTTAAACATCTAATTTTAATTAAGAATAAACTGACTTGGTTATGATTATACCTGAAATGTTCCTGCAGTGCCTCTTTAGATTCCAACTTCGAGTCACACAGAACGCAATTATGTTGCTCTTTAGTACTCATTTAGACGCTAGAATCTACAAAAACGAGAAAAAAATATCGAAAAAATTCGAAGAAACGTTCGATTACACACGAAACACCGAAACGTGAAGCAAGCTCCCACGAGTTAATATTCGACATGGAAATTCGAACATTAATTTTCTATTGTTTGCTGTCGTTGCTGTTGCATTGTAGCTTCGTTTATTCATGAAAAAACCAATTGCACGATAAACACAATCGTGACCAAGAAACACGACAAAAAATCAATTTCCGGCCATTTTAATTGTGTTGAGAAACGCGCCCTCTGGTTAACGTGTAATAAATAAAAACAAGTTTTTTGAAGTTCGTGAAGATTTAATTTTTTCCATGTGATCTTTTCCTCTCGTTTTTCACATGTGAAAAAGAATCACGCAAACCTATAATTGTAATACTTCTATAGTTTCATTAATTAGAATTAAACTTGTAAAATATAATTCTCTATCAGGAGATTATCAAAAGGATCTGACATTTATGGTATACGGTTTGTTTGGTATAAACGTTCTAAGTAAAACACAATCTCACAATATATCTCGTCTCAAAATGATAAATATAATCTGAAATATAACTTAGTATTCAATTTTTAATATAGAATTTAGAATAATAACAATTTTTTTATCTTATTCTCAAAGATTAAATTATGTTTTGCAAATTAGTATAATTTAGTAAAAAGATTACTCTAGAAAGCTAATTATCGCCATTGCATAATGATTGCATTTTTTTTGTTTATTGTATTATATATATATATACCTAATTAAACAATAGTATTTCTGTTCTCTCTTGCCAAATTTCACAAAAGACATACATACCACACACGCACGCATCCATCTATAAAATAAATTTGATACTTTTATTCGACAGTTTCTTTCATTTTTAGTCGCAATATAAAACACTACCTTACATAGAAAAAATATATATATATATAAATTTTTGAGACTCTGTTTTTTTAAAAATAATATACCTATCAGTTCCTTTTTTAGTATAAACAGTTAGTGAACATGCAGTTAATGTAACTGCTGATACGTCGGTTGTAATTGACTGTCAATCACACCCTGCGCTGCCAATTCTGCGAGCGTTCTTTCAAGATAACTCTGGTCGGGATAACCATGCCCGGACGTGGATGGACCCAGTTCGGTCTTGTGATGGATCTCATTCCACGTGACAACGTCCTCACGGCCAGTGGTAACCGATCGACCGATCGTGAAGATCAGTTTGCGCTCGAACGCGATTTGCAGCAGTCTCAGCACTCGGCGGCCAAGATTGTTATCCGGCAGGTAGCACACTCGAGGGAAGCCCACGGCATAGTACGTCTGACCGGGATTCGGGTGCTCGTCACCCTGAATTCCGGATGGAATGCTGACGAAATTTAAGATTAAGATTGATGGAGAAAAGTTTTAAATTAATTTAAATCTCAACTTAATTAATTTCTTAATTGATCATTTAACTAATCTTTTTTTTGTCTCGGATTGCATTACTGAACAATGTCAATTGTTTACTTATTTTAATTTACTTACTCGTAAGTGATTTGTATGGTATTGGTATTTGGAAAACCTGGCAGCGCACGCGGTATTCGTGTCCAGTTCATCATTCCCGGCGGCTGATTACCTCTCTTCTCGCCGTAGATCATGCGGCAAACTGGACATTGTATATACATGGGCGGCTGCTGGCAGCTGAGCATCGCGTTCAAGCAAGCCAAATGCAGTCTATGTCTGCATCGCGTTAATTCGACCGTCAACGGCTCCGGAGTACCCAGGCACACTGGACATGAATCGGACCCGTCGCTTTCGACGACCTTCACGTACTGAGATATCACGTCGGAGGTGACATCCGTTCCTAAAAGTAAAATTTATGTAAGTAAATAATTATTTTCATTACATTTAAAGTAAACAAGTATTTATTTTTTTAAATACACACCGAGAATGGAGTCCTTGAATGCGTCGTCACTTCCCATGCTGCTGTCCAGCAAGTCCATCGGATTCTCATGACTCAAATATGTCGATACAGTGTCTACGCTTGGCCTGCGACCACTCTTGGTGCTGCTAGAATCAACGTCCAGCACCGTATCCCAAGTCTTTCTCTTCTGACCAGATTCCACGTTTGTTGCCGCAGGATTATTCTCGATGCCGTGTTTACTGCTAAATATGTTGAAGTTACTGAGAATAACGCGCGCGATATTCGTCGGTCCGTTCGTGTCCCCACTTTTGCCCTGCAAAAAAATTGCAAGTAAAATCTCGTCACAAAATTACTTCAATGCAAACATGATAAATAAAACTCACTTTCTTATTATTTTTCTTTGTACTTCCATTAGATGACTTTTTGTGTGCAGCTTTGACAGTGGAACTCTTGACCGAAACGGATGCAAATCGTCTCCCGGAAGTGATCTGCAGTTCCTCCAATGCAACTTTGACCAGTGGATAGGGCGCTTGCTGTACGCGTCTTATCGGCCTTACATAGCCAGTACAGCATCTCACTTGCGTCAGATTACAGAAATTGATGATGTAAGGAAAACCCAGGTAAGTCTTGGAAATGTCGATTGTCTTGTCACCCTATAACAATTTTGTTAGTTTCAAGAACAAGAAATAATTTATTGTAATATTCTTTACTTACTCTTGCCCATGCTTCCTCTATCAGACATTGTACTTCCATGTCATAAGTATGCCAATCATCCGAGTCACCTGCCCATTCCCATTTGGCACCTTTGCCAGCTGGTGAACCTGGCAGATAAAACTTTCTCCTTACATTGTATGTGTCGTCGGCATCGTCGCTGCATTGTGTCTTGGTCTTCAAGTTTATGTAATACCTAAATTTTAAACAATTTTGTGTATATTATTACTTTTGTAAAACTTAAAAACTAAGATGCATGATTTTATTTATCCAATTTAGTTTCAAGTTTATTTAAAAATTATTAAATTTTTTTACAAGATATATCTTTATTTACTATAAAACTAGAATATACCAACAAAATTCTCAGAATTATAAATATTAGATTTTTATAATATTTCCTTAATCTCATTAAAATTTTCAGTAGCAATGTAGTTTGTCAAATATAAAAATTTTAACAAAAACTTTTGTGTAGCAAAACAATTTTTGAACATCCAAAATTAATGGATAAATAAATAATGAATCAATATATAATAAATCAATAAATAAAATTTAATAAATAATCTATTATTAATAATTAAAAATAATCAAGATTATATTTACGTATATTAATTGCACTTTCCCTTTTTTTTTTGCTCTCCAAAACACAACATGCACCTGCCGCTTGATTTGGGACACACAAGGCAGTGCGTGATGCGTGCAACCAAAACAGGTAGACTGCACGAAATTATTACCTGTCGAGGGTGGGATCCGCATCGTGGAGAAACACTCGTGTGAGCTTCTTGCAGTGGGCCCGTTCAAGATGCTGCGACACAGCCGGACTGTAAGGTCTCCATCGTCCGTGACGATTCTCCCACTCCCAGACGACCACCGCGTGTCCGTGCTCCTGCCCCTGGGCACTCATCCTTCCTCTCGCTTCCTCCACCATCGCTCGTTCACCCTCTCACACTTCCTTCCCAGTGGAATTTCACACGCACGTGTGACACACACTCTCAACGCAGCGAGAGCGTGGGAACATTTTCAAGTTTTCCCACGGGGTCATCGCAACGGTCCTACGTTGTCGCCAACGCTCGCGACACGTCGAATTTATTTTTAATATCTCACCCGCGAACTTTCTTTTGTCTATTCACGAAATTTCGCGCGATTCCGCGATTTCTATCAAGTAGACACACGCCAACGAAATCCGCAAGTTCTCTCTCCTCAAGAACTTGACAGAGAAACGATAAACATAGGCGCACACCAGTGCACTCTGGTGAAGCGCATACGCTACAATGTGCTACAAAGAGATGATGCGGCACGGCAGATGTACGATTGCGGAATCGATAGATCGTTACGTGTCGATAGGTCGTTATGCGAAACTTCGAGCAATCGAACATAAAATAAAAATACATAGATCGGAAACAATTAATCTACGATACTTTTATGAAAATAAAAACATAAAATTTGAGCCAGCGGCTTATCGCTGGCTTAAATGAACTAAATACAAAGAAGTGTTGTGTCGGCAAAAAGTGGCTGCAATAACAAACAGTGAAGATTGCATATAAATGAATCTCAACTAACGTGCGCTCCCTCTTCATCACCGTTGCAATGGATTGCATTTGTTACTAACGGCTGTTGAATACTGCCGTCAACTGAAATTGGCGCCAATTTGCCATGTCAAAACATTGTGTCAAATTGATAGTTATTGTGACTGATCTGCAGATTCTTGACTGACTTTTATATTCAAACTAATTGCGGAATATACTTTATAATATGGACAATTAGTAGAAGTCTTTAATTTTAAAAACAGTTATAGAATTTAAGAGTAAGAATGGTTCGACGAAAAGCTGCACCGAGGTTAGTTTTGCTTGTCAAATTTTCACTGTTAATAGTTAAAATCTATAGTATATACAATGTAAATAATAGATTTTCAATGCTGGCAATGAATAATGAAATAGCTGTTCCTAAAATGTTAACAATGTTAATAGATTGATAACAAATTTGCACAAATATGATACAAAGTTATCAATTTGTCAATATTGCTGACATTTGGCTATTTCGATTATTAATATTAATAAAATTAGTGTTAAACGGCTTGCAATGGTTTTTTATTATATTTATTTTATTTAATATTGTGTTTTTATTATCTGTAGTATGCCATATAATACTGTTACAGTATGCCATAACTATTAATAATTAATAATTTCTTATTTATTAATATTTTAGCAATTTAATTAATTGCTGATTTCTAATATATTAAATTATTTGATCTTATTCCTGATGTAATATATAGAACATATTTTAGTTCACACACTCAACGCTCTCAATCTGACAAATTACCTGGCAAGGAAAGAGTGAGCATATATTATTAAATTAATTTTAATATATTGAATTAAATCTATTATACAAATTTATATATATATATATATATATATATTCTTTTATATATAAAGCTGTTTTACAGATATTATTATTTTACAGGTATCTAGAACAGTGCACAATGTTTCAAGACAAAACCGGGTGATGCAGGAAATTAAGCATTTGAGAAACACCACAAATTTCCTCATACCTAAAGCGAGTTTTATGCGTGTAGTTAGACAGATCTTCCTTGAATTATTTCCTAGAAAAGATGTTATAAGGCAAATAAAATTATTCACTACTTTTATATAATTATTATTTCTCTATCTATCTATTCTTTCAATTAAGTAAATATTTATTTTTGAATATATAGTTATATAATTGATTCATTTGCAGGATACAAGCTCTAGCTCTTCAAGCCTTGCAAGAAGCGGCAGAAATGTATGTAACACAATTTTTTGAGGATGCAGTGCTATTGGCATACCATGCTAAACGAGTCACACTCATGCGAAATGACATGATTCTAATGCGCAGACTGAGGGGCCGTAATGATATCATTAACAGATAAAATACCCTATATTACATAAAGTTAATTTTAAAAAAGAAATTAATAAATGGTAAAGTTAATTGTATATAACTAATGCTAACAAAAATATGTTATTTAAAAGATCTAAAGTTTTATGAAACTGTATTTGATTGTTTTATCATTTTAAATTTACTAATTTTAAATATAAAAGAATCAGATATATTATTAGACATATTATTTTTTTAAATTTTATATTTTAATACTTTTAAATTGTACTTTTAATACTTTTATTTAAAAAAACTAACAGAAATGCTTGCATTTTTTTAGGTAATATTTTTTTAAAACAAATTTTAAAGAAAATGTGTGGAGGAGATTAATTTTCTAAATAAAAATAATTTCTGAAACATTCAAAATTATTTGAATAAAATTCATAATTACGAAATTATATGACAATCAGACGATCTTAAACTATGAATATCGAAGCAAAGATGAAGATTTTTAACGCACTTGCAAAAGAAAGAAACAATTAACATGTTTCTCTCTTCGTCGTTCTGCGTCGTGAGAGCCATTTCATATACGGCGCATTCCAATTTAACCTTTGACTATTTTTATTTTAGTTAATTATTTGTAACAAATTTTTATGAAGATCAGAAATGACCTGTGCTAGTGATTGTGGATACCATTTCGCAATAGTAGTTAAAAAGTTAAAAATAAAGTTAAAAATTTAATATTTTTATAATGTAAACTTATTCCAATGTAATGTATTTGTGTGTGTTATTGAATAAATCATATTTATGTAATTTTTCAAATTTTCGATGATTTTTAATCAATTATTACTTAATATACCTGTATACAATATTTGTAACAAATTTTGTAACATATTTAACATTTATCTAAAATTAACAAAAAAATTTTTTTAATTTTAATTTTTTTGTAGGTTTATTAAATATTCATAAATAAATATGATTATTATTCTACTCTTCTTACTGAATAATGTCTTGAATTATTTTTTATCGCTTCCTATAACATTATTTCCAAGTCGAATATTTACACATATCTTATTTAATTTTTAAACTGCCCGTAGAAACACAGGCTTGAATATGTATACAGGGCTTGTATATCTTGAGAGCCATCACTGATGAAGGATACATCCGTGATCATGACGGAGAAGTGGATATGGGTGGGGGGAATCGGTAGAGGCTCATCAGCTGACGAGAATGCCTCAAAGATGTCTTGTTACTAACAGTGAGCGACAACGACGACGCAGTGGTGCGTAGGTGTCCGGGGGTTGTTTGGACCCTACGGGGGTGAAAGACGATTAAGGGTTTAAGGATGTTCTGCGCGGAGGGCTCGTCGTCGAAAGGCAGCTTTCTGCAGCAGAAGAAAGCTGCACGCGAGGATCGGGCCCACGAAAAGCGCAGAGAAGTCGCGGCCACTATAATCCAGGCCCACTTCCGCGCTTGGCTGGCACGCGAACGGTTCACTAAGCAAATATTGTAAGTGCGAAACGACAATGATATCGGGATCTTTCAATGCGGAGTGATTTTCGCAAGAATGAGCTGTCAATAAGTACATGTGCGCGTTGAATGTGTCTGTGTTTACATTCAACGGAGCGCGTGAGAATGTATGTGGCGCTGTGTAAATAAAGATTGAGATAATCATTTTATCGAATTACGCGTAATTTCTCGCAAGAATTGAATTAGGCAAATGAGCGTGAAATTAATTAATATTTTAGAGCAACTGCACTGCTGTATTCTGACAAGATTCTTTTAGTTTTCTACACAAGATTCTTTTACTTTTTAGAAAAGAGTTTGATAAGCATTTTCCCGATGACATTGGCACCGACAATACAACAGTGGAATTGAAGCCTGCTCTAGAAGTGTACAAAATCATTTCTAGATTTTTGCTAATATTTAAAAGAGATAAGGATCAAGAGAGAATAGAGAGAGTGTGTAGGTGAGTATTTACAGTGCAAATACTTTTACGTTTCTTCATGAAGATTCAGAATATATACTTTAACTTAAACAATCCTTTTCAGATACCTTGTGCTGACTCTTGATTCCGAGTCTCCAAAGATATCTTACGTGGGATTGGCGCTCAATAAGGACTACTACATATCATGGATTTTACAAATGAAGACAGTTCTGTACCATTGTCTTTCTGGCTTGGACAGCCTGAAGCCAGAGAGAGTATCAGACCACAAATCGATATTGCTGCGACTGCATACTTTGGTCAGCTTTACGTCTCCGGGAACATGGGCCATACAGAAAGTGAAGGGCATGGACCAACTGAAGACTGGCATGAATCAACTGTGTGCGAATATCATGGGCCACTTAGTTAACAATGGATTTTACGCCACCATGCAGGTAATAATATTAACTGACTTTCTGACAGCTCGACTTTTTCTTTATCAATACTAATTACATTCCTCTCATTTTAGGCTCTGTTGATGAAGGGACTAGGTAGAGCAAAACTTGCTCTGAAACCAGTTGCACTTTCAGCTGCGGTTACTCTGACACTGAGACCACTAATTTCATCACAGATGTCTGACAAGCTGGTGTCTCTCTTTCTAATTAACATCTTTAGCGTGCCAGCTCTGGTCCATCATTTGAATACATTTTCACCAGAGGTAGAATAGCAAGAAAGAAAATATTTCCAACTTTTATTATGTTACAATGTATCTTTAAACGTGTGAAGTTTCTGACACATATTTACAGTGCATTTCATCGTTCATAACGAACAATATGTTTGCGAGAAGTTTGGAGCTGTTGAATTCCGAGCAGAATTTGAGGATTGTTTTTAACGCTTTGGAAGGTAGCTACGCGCTTTGTTTGCTCGCTAATTTAATACAACTGGCAAATATCGAGAGGGAAGAAGTACTGAGGGAACTTTGCTTTCCTTCTTTTACGGTAAATTACGCCAACAATTTTTTCCATCACGCGGATATTGGCAATACAATTTATAACATTTTGCGATTTTTTCTTACAGTTTGTTGTGACGAGGATGCTGGAAGCATGTCAGCAATACGTAGTCGCCAAAAAGAGTAACTTGACGCACTGGCATCCCGTATTAGGCTGGTTTGCACAGACGATTGACACCTCATTGCACGATGCAACTCCTTTCGTTAAAGTACAACTGGCCTATCTCTGGACCGGCAGGATTGTCACGTATTTAATTGGTAAGAATCGTTAGATTTTTTGTATTTATTAAAAAAAAGAAATCTATGCATGTAAATAATCAATAAAACTTATATTATATTCAATCAAAGTCGTAGTTACCACACATTTCTTTTGTTAAATTTTTTTCAAATGATTTTTTTTTTAATTTTCTTTTTAGAGCAGCCACTAATCGAGCTAGTCGAAAAAGAAGTGCCACCGTCGATAGAATACCAAAGCACTTCTTCCGTGGGTGCCAACATCTTTCGACGTGCGTTTCTAGAAGCTCGCACTAATAGAAACAACAGTACCAAGAATTACAGAAAACTGGGCAGTCCTGAGGCTACCAAGATAGCATTGATCTGTTCGCTGTATCAAACAGCGTTGCATACGCTTACGCAGATGAAAATCGAAATATTGACTGGTACGTATAACAGAATTAGCGCCCACAATCGTGTATATAGCTGACTTTGACCAATGGATCATGCTACCACAGGATTATGCTACCAAGGTAAAATTCTATACCACATGTGGTTGTTTTTAACTACTCTGGGGCCGCATTGCGGCCTGAAGACATTTCTAGACCTCTTGGCAGCCAACACGAAATGCACGGCGCCCGAATTTCAAATGTTGATACTATTTGCCGATTGTATGACACATTACGTTACGTAAGTGATGCACTGCTGGATGCTGCTCCGATTAGATTCAGACGAACTAATTTTTTTTATTTCTCCAATTTCAGCATTCTGGATGACATGGAGATGTACGAGCAACAAGATCCGTTTAAGCTCACAGATTTCATCAGCATGTCCTACTTCCTGAATCAATTCTTATACAAAGCGATTCTTACTAATTTATTCGGTAAATAAATTCATTTCTGTCGTTCTTACTAAATTCAGAAATTGACGTTTTTCTGCATTTTCTAAAAATTGCCAACTCATTTTATTGGTGCACCACTTTTTTGTTACAACGATTTTAACGACGTTCTGTTAAATTAAGATTTCATAAATTCTCTTGAAAACTAATTTAAGTCTTAAATGTTGCAGATGTCAAGTCGGTATCCAGCAATTCCCTGTTTATCTCGCTTTACATTCTTTTAATGGCAATCTATCGACGTGACTGCCGCAGAGCGTTCTGTCCAGATAATCACTGGTTGGCTAAGTTAAGTACCTTAGCTTTTTTAAAAAATACTTGGTAAAAGTAGGAATACATAATATCCACTGTGTCTCAAATACTCGATATTCAGAGTTTCTTCTAAAAACAGGAGGCACGATTGTCCGGCTTTTTAATAGACCTAGAGAAGGGTCGACGCGGCGCAGCGCTTTTATTCTCGAAGATGCCTCACGTTATCCCTCATTCCGACCGAGTCTTATTGTTTCGCAGGCACATAGCCGACGAAAAGGCGGTTCTCGGCTTGACTGAGAGTGCTTGTAACAGTCCGCCAACTACACTCATCATCGTGCACAGGTCACTTGACGCATTTTTAAATATATTTTACAATTAAACATTTCGACAGATTAAAAAATTTCCAAAAATTTTTTTCGTTAGTTTTGGTACACTTTGACGCTATTTTTTTTGAAGAGTCGTTTTATAAGAATTCTTTGAATACAGTGTAATTTAGAATTAGTTTTCATTACAATTCTTCATGCGATATTATTTTTTTCAATCATTATGAAATATTTTTTATACTTTGCAGAACGCGAATAGTCGAGGATGGGTACAGACAGCTAGCCATGTTGCCGTCACAAGCATTGAAGGGTGTGATCAGGGTGCGTTTCGTGAATGAGCAGGGCCTGACCGAGGCTGGTATCGATCAGGACGGAGTCTTTAAGGAATTTCTCGAAGAGACGATAAAGCGAGTGTTTGATCCATCCCTGAATTTGTTTAAAGCCACCAGCGAGAACCGGCTCTATCCTTCTCCCACATCCTTTATGCAGGACAATCACCTACAGCTGTTCGAATTTGTCGGGCGAATGCTTGGCAAAGCTGTTTACGAGGTAAAGTGTCCTTTCATGATTCCGCGATCAATTACATTAAGTTTAAATTCACAAAATAAATCCAGTTTCTAAGAAAATATTCTCAATAATCGACTTTCTTGTTTTTCAGGGCATCGTCGTGGATGTGCCTTTTGCATCGTTTTTCGTGTCGCAATTTTCCGGGCAAACGGGTGGTGCTTTGTACAGCTGGTTGGACGAGCTCGCTTCATTGGATCGAGATCTTTATCGCAGTTTAACTCTGGTGAAACATTACAAGGGCGATATACAGCAACTAGAGCTGACGTTTTCGCTCGATGAGGACGTACTCGGTAAATTGGTCACCCACGAATTGATCCCTAACGGACGTACTACTCCCGTGACCAATCAAAATAAGATTCAGTATATCCATCACATGGCGCACTACAGAATGTATCATCAGATCAAGGAGCAAACAACTGCCTTCATTAAGGGATTCCGCTCGATCATCAATCCCGAGTGGCTGTCGTTGTTCTCGACACCTGAGGTAAATGTTTAAAATCATTCCTTTTTGCAATGTGATGTGTTTACGAAATTGAACAACTTAAAACACAATAAATTTGCTTTGCAGTTACAGAGATTAATCTCGGGCGATAACGTTCCTTTGGACTTGCAAGATTTACGAAAGCACACACAATACTACGGCGGTTTTCACGACAGTCACCGAGTGGTATGTTGGTTGTGGGATATTTTGGAGAAAGATTTTACAGAAGATGAAAGAGGATTATTCCTAAAGGTACTGTAATGCCAATAGGTTTTTTAATTGACAATATTAGAATTATTCGGAAATACTGACATTTTTTGTAACTCTGATTTCCTGCTAATAATTTTTTAACAATAAATTATAATAGTTTGTGACGAGTTGCTCGAAATCACCGTTACTGGGTTTCGCTAATCTGGAGCCACCTTTCTCCATACGATGTGTGGAAGTCTGCGATGATGAGGACACAGGCGACACAATAGGTACAATAATTATAAAACAATTTCAGAAAAACCACAAGCAACTTTTTATGACTAACAGTAGAATTGAAAAGCTGCATAAATTTTCAACATCTTTTATATTTTTTATCTTGTTTTACGATTATCAGTTTTACGATTATACGTCATCTATATTTTAGATCTCAAGAGAATGAAAAAGTTGTAAACCTTTTGGCAATATATAACATTAAATTTTTATTTTATTTTCTGATTTCATAGATTTCTTTAATTTTCAGATAAATGCTTAACATAAAGTTTTCAAATAAAGATTTTTTAAAACTATAATTTTACAAAAATATTTAGTCTACTGATTGTCCAATATATATCACAATGTTGTTTTTTAAGAATTTAATTTATTTAATATTATGACGAATCACACAGGTAGTGTAATCAGGGGTTTCTTCACGATACGCAAGAAGGACCCGCAAAATCGACTGCCGACCTCATCGACGTGCTTCAATCTGCTTAAACTGCCGAATTACCAAAAAAAGAGCACGCTACGAGAAAAGCTACGCTATGCTATCACCAGCAACACCGGTTTCGAACTCTCGTAGATGGTCTTGCAATTCCATCCCAAATATGGAAAGATGACAAGCAAGTTTATTTGTGAATTTGAATAGAAATATCGCAGAACGATTCGCGACAAATCGAAATGAAATGAAATTTGATCAGCATACATAAGGATAAAAAGTTGGCACGATCAATACCCCGAGTTGATTTTATAAAATAATGTTGAATGCTGCCTAAACCGCCCTTATCCCGACCTATAATTCATATCTCGATAAAGCGCGTCGTTATTTCAACGTCGTTATTATTGATTTCCAAATCCGAATGTTGAAAAGAGATTTTAGAGGCATCATGATCTTCTTTTGAACAACATTTCGACTTTGGTACATAAATGGAAGAATGTACAATGTAAGAATTATATAATATGAGCTCGCGAAGAAATAATTGTTAGTTATATACATATATATATACTTAAAAGAATTTCTTCATACGACAAGGGCTAAGTATTTTAGGATCAAGCTTGATCACGACGTTTCTTTTTGCGATTTGGATACACGCACACACAGTCATAACCGATGTGAAATACACCATGAGCCAAAATACCTCATGAGCTTAATATCGCTGAGATGATAATCGTGCGCTTGTTAGTGAATAGATACGTTGATCAATATTACAGTAAGATCAGGGGTGACGAATAATTGAAATTTATTTTCATAGATAATCAATGTTATAAAAATAATAGTTATTGGTGGATTCCATCGTTTACTGAAAATCCAATCGTTTAAAAATTTGAATCAATAAGTAGAGAAAGAGCTTATCTACAATCACGATTGCAACAGTTTGTGATATCTTACAAAACTATCAACTGTACATTAAATTATTACATCACTTGCTTGATTTACTTAGTTGTATAATTTGAGCAATATTTCATAAACGAAAAGTAATATTTTCACAAAAACATTTTTTGACCAATTTGGAACATTTTTTATTAGCAAAAACTCTTTTAATGAGAGTGATAAAAAATAAGTATATGTTGCATTTTAATTTGTTATAAACTTGATTTTTTTTTATACTTAAAAAAAAATTACAAAATCTGTTCCTGCTATTTATCAATCAAATTAAATATTTCAGCGTATACTTTCGCCATCCCTGCATTAACAAGAGAATATCCTCTAAACTGGAGGATGTTGTCTTGTGAATAAACCAGCACGTGTGCGAAAAGTATCCATGAGTAATCAAAAAACGACATGCAAGTTTCTAAAAGTTTTTCCTCAATACGAAGAAAAAGAGCAGTAGGCAAAGGAGACAGCGATCTATTTTAAAAAATATTTTCTCATAATTTTCGTACGGACTTTTGGCGCGACATGCTATCGAATCATAATTTAGCGTGTGCGACCTAAGGATACAAAATCCCACGAGCGTTCACAAATAAAAAATCCTGGAGTCCGTTTTGATAAAAAAAAATGGCAGAAATTTCATCGTATTTCGCGCGAGCTAAAGTTGAGAAATTCCTCGAATATAAAAGAACGAACTTTTCTTGATAATTTGTTCGAGAAATTAATTAAATTAGTAATATGTGAACAAGAAATAATTTGATGTGAAAGTTGAACCGCAGGCGAATAAATTTCAAATTATAAATTTATGAATAAAATTTTAAATATAATTTATTCATTTGCAATTTTATTTTATATATATTTTTAGTATATTTTTTATATGTTTATCACTATCATTGAAAAGTTTTAACCATCAGTCCAATTATTTAATCAATTCTATTTGGTTTAACTAAAATTTAATAACTTTTAATAACTTTAACTAAATTTAATAACTTAGTATATTCAAGACAGTCTACGTGGTGAAATCGATGAAAATTTTGCTTGAATTCGCCGTAATTACAACGCGTACGAGATATTCATGTGTGTTTACGAGTATTGAGGAAAAAGAGGGCACAAAAAAAGACTTACAGTATTCCGCGTGAATACAGGGGGAAAGTCAAAGTCTAATGATACAATATTGTTATTCCTCTTGCCTTTCAGGACGCGTTCTTCTACATAATAGACGGTAATGTGAGAAACATGACAGGGCAATTTGATGATAGACCAAAGATAAAGGCGAACGATTTGAGATGTAATCTTTGCATATTTTCCTATGTAATTAGGCACGTGTCGTAAGGTCGCAAATTTGTGCTCACACAATTGCACAATCAAGACTAATGAAATATAGTTCTAATAAAATATAATACTAAAATTTGAATAATCTTTTTCGAAAATCAGAAAGTAATATACAATCAATTTTGATTGAGCAATATAATGGTAATTTTAATGTTATTATATATGTGTGTATTATTTATTGATTTTTCGATGGCGGATAACTGGGTCATAAACTACGTTTATGTAATATTTATTATTAACATATGATGTTGTATTCGATATAATGTTAATTGTTATTATGTTTAATTTTAAGAATTTTGTGTGGGCACAAGAGATTGGCGGTGTACATTTATTAAAGTGGAGCAACAAATACTCCGGTTTATGGGTATACTCGTCATAGATAAGTTTAAAGAACGGCTACTATTATAAGTAGTTGTATATAAATAATAAGGGGCGTAAGATCGATATAAAATCGAACGAGAAAATTGTGATTGTAAGACAAATTTATCTCTGCCGCAATAACAAATTGCATTTATAAAATTTAATACTTAACTAGAGACTGCTATATATACCAAACAAAAAAAAAAAAAAAAATATGATAACGCGCCATAATATGAGTTTCTCTTACAATTGCAAATCGAACGAAGATACACGTATTCTGTAAATCGCTTGCTTCTCGATTATACAACGGCTACGTGTTCGCCGTTTGTAATCGACGGTGAATTATTAAGATTCTGTATAAGGAGACGAGACTTCTTTATAAGGAAGAGAGAGATTCGCTAATTTCGTACGATGAAGATTGGTAACAATCGTGTAAATATATACACATGTCGCAAAAGCCGTGTTGCGTTAATGTTGCCTTCGCTTTCCTTCGTTACATAAGCGATCCCTTCTTGATTACACGCGGGAAGAAATCAAATAAAACCAAATTCCATTGCCAAAAAACAATTCAAAGATTTTTCAGCATTAAATATCAGCTTAAAAATTAACAAATATGAATTGTTTTGATAGGAGGATATTTTTCAAATTGTTAAATATTCTATCCAGCCGTACATAAAGATGAGACTTAAGTTCAGAAAACGAAATTACAAATAATGCATTTCAATGAATGAATTTTAATAATCATAGAGTTGTATAAAACAAATTTATTTAAGTTTCTAAAATCCAGAAGCAGATTTATGTAATATTTCTAAAGTTTCAATGGCTAAATTAGGGACTAGAAGAAAAATTTGATTCACTATACTTTTAATAATATTTTTTAAATATAGCCTTATCTTTTTCGATCTATTTTATATAAAATGCAGAAAATATAGAAAGAATACAATTAAAAAGAAAAAATTAAAAATCATGCGCCTGCACGAGGATATGCAACGCACATCACGTGACTGCACGGTGATTCGCTGTGTCGGTCACGTGACCGCCTTTGTGCCCGGCGCTGCAGGATGCAGTAGCGTCAGTGGCCAGCAAGCCTTGACTGTGAGTAGACGTGTGACTCGTCGGCGGAGCGCGGCTCGATCTCCCGTCGCGGCTACGCGAGAGGACTCTCCTTTTTTTCCCTCCCCTTCTGTATATGCGTCTCTCTCCTCCCTTCTCTCTTTTGTCCATCTGTCACTATCTGTCATTCCGTCTCGCGGCGTGTGTCGCGCATGTCGTTGGCTCGGTGAGAACGCGTGTGTGCTTGGTGCTTGGTGCTTCTGTCCGCGTGTGCTCCGAGTTTTTGCCCCAAGAGGCGATACCACATAGTGGCACAGTGGTGGCTCTTGCGGGGGCCGCGTGCGTGCGTGCGTGCGTGCGAGCGTGCGTGCATACGTGCGTACGTGCGTGCGTGCGTGCGTGCGTGCGCGTTACATCAAGAGGAATATCGTTCGTGTCGTACACGACGGTGGACTCTGCGAGTGCGTCGGCGGCAGTGCGGTTGTACGGAGCAGCCGCAGCCGCAGCTCCTCGCGTTTTCTCATCGTCCATTGTCGCGTCTCCTTTCTCCGCCGCGTGTCTCCTAGGAACAAGCGCCGCCTCCCGTTTCTCCACCACGTCTCCCCTCTGATTCTGATCCCCCGGGGAGCTGCTCCGACAACGCTGTTATGAGGCGCGCCGCCGAGTGCGATTGACGGACGCGTCGCGACGGCGCGAGAAAGAGAGAGAGAGAGAAAGAGAGAGTGGGGCAAGCTGTGATTGGAATACAGTGCGGCAGTGTATATACGTGCATACGTACGTGCATGCGTGCGTGCGTTCCTGCGTGCGTGTCTCAAACATAACCTAAGTGTCGGTAAGCGCGCTAAGTGCTGTTCGTTGTCATACTTGTAATCATATTGGACGCGACGACGGATATATACAACGGATTATTATCGGAGCGCACGGACAAATTCGTCTAGATCAAAAGTAATAATGGTAACATTAGTGTCTTCGTCGGCAGTGTGGTGAGTGACGGAAAAGACGAGGATACGTCATCGCTTATCTCGACGCGATAAAGGACACCGTTCGTACACGTATCACGTTTTCCCCCCTCCTCGATTCGGCTGATTTGAACTAAACAAAAGAAGAAGGATTTAGCAGCAGGATATCCCCCCTTCGACGAGCGAGAGAAGAAAAATGCTCATCGCGTGAGACATTCGTCGATCCATCGATCGATTCACTCGTCGATCGTACGCGACTCAAACAATAACGGTGGCTCACTTTATCGAGCGGGCGAGGGGGCACAGCCCGTAAAGCAGGGGGTGGCGGGCCAGCAAGTGCTTTGATGGCAGTGGTTGGGCCCAGCCGGTCACTCGCGGGTGTCCATGAGTGTGTACCATACCGCTGATGCAAGGCGGCGGGGCGGGGGCAACCGGCGGCGGCGGCGCCGGTGCCACCGC